GGTAACAAATTGCACTTACATGGAACACTGTCATCCTCACTGGTATACATCGATGTTTCGCCTTAAGACACTTGCCCCAAGGCTCTTCAGTACCAAATTGGATAACATTATAGAAAATACACACAGTTCATTCATGAATTACGATTTTTAATGTCACGGAATAAGCTTGATCTGCTTATGTCATTGATGACATCGTAATGACATTCACGTATTTGATTAAATTTCAGCCAACAGGAATTTTGTTTGAACTGAAGGGGTTATATCTTAGCAGTGACTAATATTTTTGAAAGAAGTTTTTGGCTTTCTACTACTTTGTCTTGAAACAAAAAAAATCTGGGAAACTTTCACAGAAAGGAAGGAAGCAATCAATTTCAAAAGAATTAACTCTGTACACAGATGGGTAGATCATGCAGAGAAGTAACTTTCAGACACAAGCAGCTGATCAGGTACAATGGAAAACATCCACAATCATCACCATCACTTCAAAAGACATTATCAAGACTGTTAACGACAGTACCTAATCAGGACTTACCATTTGTGCATTGATTATAATCCATTTCATTTCATGGGGTTGGTCTCTAAAGTTTCAAAACCTGTGCGTAAAGGTCTTCATATTCAATAAAATCACCACTTCAAAATTGGAATTTAAAAATGAAACTCAAAATATCAATTAGGAGAATCGTTTATTGAATGAATTCAGAAAAATCATCCAGAGTAAATGACAGTTATCAACTTTGACGAATCCAGTTCTCCATTGTTGGTAATTCAGAACATGAGGAAATCCTGAAATGGAATAAATGCTTTCAATATTCTAATCTAATCGACCATATGATTTGAATAAAATGCTCCCCATCATACATGTTATAACTCACTTCAATACCCAGAAACTTGAGTGACTCGTTCGAAAATATCCTGGAATATCCCAGACTTTTGTTGATGAATCAAGGGAGTTATATGGTATAGTTGTTTCGGAAATACAAACATGTATTGATTCAACATGTACAAACATGTATTTCCGAAAGCACTATCCCATATAACTCCCTTGATTCATCAACAAAAGTCTGGGATATTCCAGGATATTTTCGAACGAGTCAGACAGTTTTCGAACATTCTAGATCTAGAGTGTTCTAGGATGTTCTAGAATGTTATAGATTGCTCTCGAATACTTTCGATAATTCTGAACTGTTTAAGATTTTTAGACTGAAATTTTTCAAACGAGGATGTTTTTTATGGATGTTGAACAGGAGGCAACCACAATATAGAATTCCCTTGATTTCTACAGGGTGATTTGGGATATTCGGGTATGTTTTCAAACTTTCCATATAATGGCTAAACATTACGCCTTCTTTCAGAATAGTTCAAGATATTCCGAAATGTCCCCCGAAGTTGTGGAATGTTTTCGAATACACTGGATCCAGAAGTTTCCAGAGGGTGAAACTTATGGCTCCTTCACCTTCAAAAGTATTCCTGACAAGTGAAAACGAAAAATTCCTGTACGGATAAATTATGAGAAGCCCCCCTGATCATTTCCAAAGATCTGTAACGTTTGAGGACGTTTCAGAATGTTTTAGAGTGTTCTTAAACATCCCAAAATGTTTCAGGATATTCTAAAATGTTATTCTTTTGAATATTCTTTTGAATACCCTCAAATATTGTGAACTCTTCTAGAACTATCTAGAGAACAAAGCCCTTATATCAGCCCTAATATCTTCAAACGCACATCTTTCGTGTGAAAACGAAAACCTTCTTCATGGATAAGCTGAGGGAAAAGATGTAGGCATATGTTTTCTGCTCTCAATGCGAAGCCAAGTATGATAGACTATAAATACGAGGCAATTTTTTGGAAATTATAGTTCACGTAGTGTGAAAAAATACGTAATTATTCATTTTGATCAGATACTTGACAAAGATCAAGATTCAAATGGTAATACTTACTTCAGGATTTGCATTGTAGATACATTTCGCTATTCCAAAAGTTTTTTCATACGGTTCAGTACCAGCTGAAAAAAATGTGCATTGGTCTAGTGAAAAAAATCGATATCAAACTATACAATAAGATATTCGTATGAATTGCATTTGGTATATAAGAAGTTACGAGTATGAAAAAAATTGATTTTTCGAAATGATATATCAAAACATTTATCCGTCCCAACGTACCTACACAGTAGATTTTGGTGAGTGCTTGCCAAAAAACGAATAATTTCACGGCTAATACCAAGCTGGACAGAACTTAGTCTTGAAGATGTTTTTCTTTCATCCAGCAGCCAAACCACGCTGAAATCAATCGAGTAGATCCTTTACAGACCAGTTTTGAAGTACCATCTGTCATCAGCGCAGGAAAGATCCGACCCAAATAGAGCAGTATGCCTGAGACTCAATTGATTTCAACGCGTTTGACTTGCTTGATTATTTCCGATTGGTTTATAATTGTTCTTGATATTTTCTGAATTCTTACCAGAAGTTGTATCGTTCAAACATTCCAGGTACTTTTGTGTTAGTCCGACCAGTTTTTTTGGCATCACTTCCTTCAATAATGGAATGTTTATGGTGAAGTCAGGTCTAAGCTGAAAAATCATTGTTGTCAATCGATGATGTTGAAAGTTCAGTGAAATGAAATATTTTATTAGTAAATGGAGTTGACAAAATGGTTTACACTTTCACGACTGAGGTTTTCAGTGTCACTGCTTTTCGAGTTTGAAAGCCGTGGATTTTTGGAATTTTTTCCTAACGTTTCGCTGGCGCGACTGGCTGTCTTCTTCAGAGGTTTAATCATCATGGCTTGCTATCCGATGACTACGTTTCAGGCTTCGTAAAGTGTACCAGACTAACCCACAAAGTGTATCGAAAACGCACACACACAAATAGATACTTGCACGCACTATCGAACCACCATCCTAGCCAAAAGAGAGTGGTCATCTCAACTCTAACGTTACGTGCTCGGAGAATATGTGAACCAGAACATCTGGAGAGGGAACTGAAATACCTTGAAGTGACCTTCAGATTGAATTGATGCAGTGCCTCCGAGACCAGAAAAGCCATGAAACCGAAAGGCCAACACGGTTCAGAAAGCGAAAAAGATCAGATAGTTTCACGCGCATATCAACCGTTTATCCCTAGGGTCACGGACAGAATTGGAAAACTATTGGACCAGACAGGACATCGAAACAGTCTTCAAACCCACGAGGAAGATACAACAAAGCCACAGGTCGGCTCAAGACAAAAGGGACCCATTATTAGCAGCAGGGGTCTATCGCATACCGCGCACTCGTGGAAAGGCATATATCGGAACCACCAAACGATCCATGGAAACAAGACTGAAAGAGCTTAAAAGGAACTGCAGACTAGGCCAAACGGACAAGTCAGCTGTGGCAGAACACGCACTTAGTGAAGGAGACCACATAATTTTGTTTGAAAACACAGAACTAATTGCCCCCACAACCAGGGATACCATAGCCGACTGGTACGGGAGGCAATAGAGATCCACAAACACACGGAGAATTCCAACAGAAAAGAAGAAGCGGTGAACCTCAATCGAATATGGAACCCCATTTCAAGGAGTTCTAGAATAACGAACAGAACAACCGGCAGCAAGATTGTTAATGTTCCAGGTTCAAGTGCAGGTATGAGTGCAGATACGAGTGTAGGTACAAGTGCAAGTACAGGTACAAATACACGTACAGATACAGGTACAAATACAACTGATTACCTGACAAGGCATAAATACGCTTTACGAAGCCTCAAAGGTAGTCATAGGACAGCAAGCCATGATGGTTAAATCTCTGAAGAAGCTAGCCACTGGCGCCAGCGAAAAGTCAGGAAAAAATTCCAAAAATTCACGGCTTTGAAACTCGAAAAGCAATGACACTGAGTAAATGGAGTGGCTATAAAAACAAGAGAATATTAAAAAAAAATGTCACTCACCACATCCGAAAACATCCACAGGCATAATATGTATCTCTGTAAAAAAAGAGAATTATTTATGAAGAAGACGGTATACGAGTATGAGAAATATTGTGCAGAAAATCCAAAGTATTTTCGACTTTATTTCAGATATTTTCACGTTCGACAATCTGAAAAAATATAAAAATTGATTATCTGTTTGAAAAATTTTGTTTTACCGTTAACCAGCTGTTGCACCCCTACGAACAACAACGCTCAGAAGTCGAAACATGTGCGAGCCGAGGATTAACGAGGTCTCACCTTTCAACGTGTGATTTCTAACACGCTTTAAAAGAGTGTTTTTCAGTCTTTCAAACTATATTTATTTCATCTAAGCTTTGAGATCAATCAGCCGTTTATTGTTTAGAACAAAAATGACCATTGATATTTCCCGATTTCGGAGAGGGATCCTGGAAATCAGCTACCAAGCAACAGCAAACGCGCAAAGGAGGGTTACAAATAAGGCAGCAGGCGTGCGTGTTATAGAAAAAATACTTTTTTCGAATGAAGAAATTCATGTAAAGTGAGTTCAAATCATATCAAGGAGGTTACGTACAGCGTCATCTGCCCGCGAATAGATCAAGCGATAATGTCGATAATTCTGTCGAATAAAGATCCCGAGCTTGAGAGTTACACACAAACAAATATACATACATACAGGTTGAGCTAAAAAAACTTGTTAAAAAGAGAAAAACTATTTTTCATTGAATATATGAACAAAACTTAATGAAATATACAGTAGACGCCATGGCTGATGGCGAGCTATCACCCAGGTATAGACTCTCTTAATTACGATACGATAAACCCCTTGCCGGCCAGTGTTGTACTTAAAATGAGTTTTAATCAGGGTAGCAAATGGAAAATGAATTCTTTGTGATTTTTTTTTCATATTTTATATAGTATTATAGGCAGTAGTATAGTTCATTGAAATGGTATATAAATGATCCAAAACTGAACTTCAGTTCAGTCAGTATCTGAATAAATATTTTCTCCATCTTCACTGCTGCTTGTGCTTGTGCTGATATCGTCATCCAAGTTTATAATCACTGTATTTACCTCTGTTTGAACGTCTGTGAATGTTTCATTTTCTCAATATTTCCGCTCTATATCTACTACATGTCGGCAACGCTTTGTCTTTTCTCAGAAATAATTTGATCAAACTCGTGCTCCTCCAGTTTCCTCACATCTTTCAACTTGGAAGTTAAGTACATTCTTTTGGTACACGTTGTTTCAGAAAGTAGCCCAAATAAGTCGAATGGGATTCAACTTCGGATGGTTGGGTGAAATTCGCAGAACGTNTGTTATGTTATTTTTCTTTTACTGTAGAACGAAAACGAGTAAGTGCGCATGGGGCTTGGCTCACCACCACGGCTGGCGCTTGCTCTAACTAAACTGATCATAAATAATAACGAAAGCTCTTTTCCCACACTCATACTTCATCCCATACGCTCAACATAATGCATATAACTCAAAAACCGAAATGACAGAAATATCTTATTTCAATTCAAGTAACAGTAGTGCAACTTCCTTTTCATCATCCAGACCTGAATGTTATTGAACGATGAATGTGAAACGTACGGAATTGAATAATTTTTAAGTATTTACCCCACCTTCGCATTCTCGTTGTCACCAAACTGTCCATTTTTCAATTCGTCTATTTGAGCCTGAGTCACTCCAGTGATAACAACGCATTTATTGTGCCATACTTTGGTCAAAGCAAGCAGTTTGTCGCCATAGTCCTGAAAAATACAAAAAAACCAATTGAAGATGAATATGTTTTTATTTATTCAGTTGTTACTAACTTTTATCTATTGGAAACATCTTCACAGTATGTTTTCCTGTTCATGAAAAAATTTAAAATATATGTATAATTATCTTCGTTTGTTTAGAATTGATTCAAAATGTTTTTGATGGATGTTTTGTAAACTCTAGAAAGTCTCAATGAAAATCATAATAATAATTCATTTTCCCAAGAAACATACAATGTTTATAGCTTCGATTACTAGTTGTGAGACAGTTATAACCTCCATTAAAAACAACATTGCTTCCATCCAGTAGTTATCATCTCAAAAAAATACAGTCCAGTATCAACCAGCAAAAATCAGTAAATCGTACGAACCGAGCACACAAAAAAAAAGATTAGAACTGAAACTTCAAAAAAATATAAATATACATACATATACATATACAGTGTGGCCCATTTTTAATGGAAACACCCCCCTAAAATTTTGTTTGAACTGTATAATGACATCACAAATTGTCAGGGCAAAATTTTAGACTTGGTAATTACCTCTGAGAATAATTTTAAACAGTGTGGTGTCAAGAAGGATTGTATCCCCTTTGTTAAAAAAGACATGTATCATCCAGCTCTGGACATTAATATCACAGTAAAATCCACCAAAAAATTAATGTACCAAATTTAGAGTCATTATTTAACTTGAAAAGAGCAGACTCTCTTAGGTTAGGCGAATTAATTAGGGACGCAGATTGGAGAAGAGTTATAGAGGAGAAAGTAGATGTGAACGTGGCTTTACACGAATTTTATAATATTTGGTACAACATAGTAAATATATGTGTGCCCTATATTATAAAAAGCATCATGTATATCCCGATTATGATATAGTTAGAACTACCCATGAATTCAAAATTCTATCTTTGGAAAATCGAAGAGTGCTTAACATTTTGATGTTTCTGTTTAAAATTATTAATAAAAAAACTAATTCACCAACGTTACTTTCTTTACTGCGATTTAATGTGTCTCCAAGAAGCATGCGCTCTTCTGTTACATTTAATATACATAGAACTACTACAGCTCCTCTTACAACCATGTGTCGACTCAAAATATGTTTAAAAACATTATAATCAAACAAATTATTAATTCATCATCATAATGCTAACTTATTGTTAAATTAAAACTAATATTGTAAAAATCATAGTGTTAAGTTCATTTTACTTTCATTTTCGCTTTTATGTTCACTTTTACCTTTATTTTCGCTTTAATATTCACTTTTACCTTCATTTTTCATGTTTATTGCTTGTAAATTAATATAAATCATTTGAAATATTAAAATTTGTATATTTATCCATGTAATTAGACCTCGACTGTAGAT